GGAAAGAGAAATTGCAATTAATACAGTAGAAAACCCTAAATGTGCAAAGATAAATAAACTGGAAAAAAATAAACTTGTACATGCTCACTCCTAGGGTTTACTCCACTCCAGTTGCCTTCGGTAAACGGTCATGAAGTATAGGGAATGTTAGTGGTCGTCCTCTAGTCCCAAAAGATCTAAAATGACCCATTCAGATGTTGCATCGGAAAAAGATCTTTAAGGCTTTAGGATGATTACTAAAATTTCCTAACATTGCTTTTATGATCATAATTGTCCCTTCGAACGTCCCTTAAAACTCCAACGACGGTGCTATCTATTCCTTAATAATAGGATAGTGTTGTCTAAAAGAAAACGAATAGACTTTTTTTTAGTAGGTAGATTAGTTCCTAGGTACTTGCTCAAACAAACAAATTTTACAAACACTTTTCAAAACAGTTTTCAAAACAACTTCGTCACACTCTTGAGGACCGATACAAGGGTTATCACGAAGTAAAACTTTTCAAAACAAGCACACACAAGCAATTTGAAAAATGAGCAAGTACCTAAGAGCCCATGGAAAACCATGGATAGAAAGGGTGCTAACACCTTCCCTTTCTATAATCTACCCCCCGTACTCAGAAACATCTCGAAAAAGGTTTTTTCTATTCTTTTTCCTTTTCCTTTGTTGGATGAAATAAAAGTCGGTGACAACTCTTTCTTACTGCAACATTTGCGAATACAAAATGCAAACCAGTATAACAGTCGGTTCTGCCACCGTAGCACAAAACTGGTGACTCTACTTGGGAGTATAAATAAGTGGGGTATACCTTAGGATCTAGGTCACTTTTAAAATTGCTTTCTTGTTTGCTTTGCCTGCTTTATATTCAAGGGTTTTGTTTGGGTATTATTGAAGATCCTACACCCTGATCGGGAAACACCTTTTAGGTAAGTAGCAATAAACTGTGAGGGAACTGTGCGCGGTATACTAACACGGTTGAAGCAGTTGCTATGTTGATGTGGAACTTTGGTTGGTACCGGTAACCCTTGAGTCAACCAGGGAGAGTATGGGGCTTCTGCGTGGTGTCGGAAAGCCTCAACTGACCTTAGAACCTTTAATTGTACAACTTGGTCAATAGAACGTAGCGAGATGGCCGGCTTTGGTGTATTCCCGAGGTCGACAGATACTCGATGCTACACTCATTGAGGTTTGACTCTTGAGTTTTGTTTGGTTGCGAGTCAATCGCCTATTGAACGAAGCTGGGGGAAAGATCGGTGATATTGAGATCCCTTAGAACCCGGTTACTATTTATAGGACAGGTTGAACCAATCCAACTTCAAGAGGGTATGACCTTAAAACTCATTCAGGCCTTAAACCTAAGGACTTGGTGTGACTTGCTTGTTGTTTGCTATACACGTGATTTTCTAGCATAATCATGACATCATAAGCATGGCATATTATAACTAACCATTTCAAGGATTTCCTAGGGCTCATTTTTGCTTTGTTTTGTAGGAAATGGCATCAGCCCGTAGCAACACTATATAGATTAACCTTGTGAAAGTGCCTCTCCAACTAAAGGACCTGGCATTAAGGGTTCCTGAAAGTTCTCCATTCACTAAAAAGCATGGTCGGTTGCTCAATTTGGTCACTGCAAAACATGATGAAGAATTGTTAAAAGTGTTGTTTCAGTTCTTTGATCCCGTGTACCATTGTTTCACCTTCCCAGATTACCAGCTAGTACATACTATGGAGGAATTTTCTCAGTTGTTAGGGGTACCTATTCTTGATCAGTTACCTTTTGTGATCGGTGGAAATATAACTGACTATTTTTTAAGCTGGTTCGCGAAATGTCGTGATAAGCAAAAGTCGCCACCGTCTTTTATGTTCTCCAATATGGAAAGGACAAAAGCACAACAAAATTCCTTTTTCGAGATGTCTCTCGGTTCGGGAGGTAGATTTATAGAAAGGGAAGGTGTTAGCACCCTTTCTATCTGTGGTTATCCACGGGCTCTTAGGTACTTGCTCTATGTTTTCAAAATTTGTTTGCTTTTCAAGTGTTTGTGGGTTTTGAAAAATTTCTTTTGAAAAACTTCTAGGTAACTCTTGTATCAGTCCTCAAGAGTGTATGAAGTATTTGTTTGAAAACTTTTTGAAAGTGTAGGTGCGAAAAGTTGTTTTTGTTTTTGTTTTGAAAGAGCAAGTACCCAGGAGAAATCTACCTACTCTAAGGAATTAAGCTGTGTAAGAGTCCTTTAGATAGTACTATCCCAATATTGAGAAGTAGGTAGCACCGTCGTTGGAGTTATTCGGGTCAATTCGATTATAAGGACATGTGTGGTCACCAAAGAAATAGTAGGACGCCTTAGCGGTAACCCTAATGTCCTAGATCCTTTTTATCCGAGGCAACCGTTTCGAGGCAACTGGATCTTTGGACAAGAGGGCAACCTCTAAAACACCCTATACTTGATGACCACCTCGAGGCAACCAGTGAGGCGTACCCTAGGAGTGGCATGTGCATGTGTGTCAGGTTCAATTAAGATTATCTTGTACATGTTATTTGTGAGCTACAGATTGATTTTATTTTTCAGACAAATCTTTCATGCATTTTTAACAGTTAAGAGTGCGGAAAATAAATTGCGGAAAGTTAAATCTATGCTATTACAAGGCGCGGGTCTATACATCGCCAAAAACAAAACCCGTTTGGAAAATAAATGCGAGAAAGGTAAAGGAAAGCGATAAAATCCTAATTAACTATTACATACTAGGAAGCAACTACATCAATATGATCAAAAAAGAATTAAAGCGCGAAAGAAATTAAATCGAGACGTCCTTAGGGTTTTGACCCTTTTTTGAGGAAAGAATTGAAATTGTCCTTTTTTTCAATTTAATTAAAATTAAACCTAATAACTAATTAATTAATTAATTAATTAAGGAAAAAGTGTATTTTTATGTTTTTATGTTTTTAATGAAAATAATAAAAAAGGAAATTAAAAGTCAAGAGAACCCTAATTCTAAGTTTATTGTATTTATTATGAAAGAAAGATTAAAGTTAACCTAATTTAACTAATTTAATTAATTTACAATTTATTTACAAAAATAATAATTAAGGTGAAATTAATAAATAATATAAAAATATTTGCATTTTGATTATCTGAATTTATTATAAAAATAATTTGTTAATTAATAATAATAATAAGAATAATTAAAAGAATTAAAAGGAAAAAGAAAATAAAACAAATAGTAAAAACCAGGGGGGGTGATGGACCCAATTTAGGAGGTTTTGTTAGAATTTCTGGCCCAAGAAGCACACAAGCCCATTGACTTTCTGGAATTGTCTGCGTATGCATTGACCAGCACTACAAGAAAAATGATAGATTGGGACGGTTATTTTGGCTGATTACGACGGTTAAAACCGTCGCAATTTACAATCTACGACGGTAGAAGTACCGTCGCAGAATCGTGCGTCCCCAGCCTATTTCGCGACGGTTGCAAAAACTGTCACGCACAACAGATAGCGACGGTTATATACCGTCGTGAATTTGACTTTATTTTTTGTTTTTGTTGTTGTTTGCGACGGTTATTCTACCGCCGTAGGTTAGAAATTGCGGCGGTTTTAACCGTCGTAATCTGATTCATAAATTTCAAATAATATTTTTATTTAAATTATTATTTAGTAAAATAATTTTAAATATAATATTATTTTACTATAATATTTTACTATTATATTTAAATTATTATTTACTTTAATATTTTTTTATTTATAGTATTTTTATTTTATTTTCTATCACTTTTCAACATAATAAAGTTAATTACAATAAAAACATTTAATATCAAATAATCATCAATAATATCAAAAAAATGTGATCAAAGGTAAAAAGAAGTGCAAATTTTACCAATAAACAAGAAAAATTCAAATATCATCAAAGGCCAAATTTCATTTTAATATTTACATTGGTTTGCTACAACTTGAGAGAATTACAAAAAATGTTACAATTTTCTACAAACTTGGTAAATATAGACGATAGAAATGTCTTCATTAGTGCTTGTAAATTCCTGGATTTTAGGAATCAGATTTAAACCTAGACCTTTCTCGACTAAGCTCATTGTGAGAGCTTCAAAAACTTGGTTGATGTCTACTTGCACCATCAGTCTTCTCTATGCCCTTGTGCGAGCTAAATCAATGCCTTCCATTACTCACCAAAGCTCAGCTACAACACTACTACATTTTCCATCACAGTAATCACACAAATTATCTGGAAGATTCAAGTGGTTTAGATATTGGTTGGTTTTGATTCCATTATGATATATCATCCACACAAAAACCCTTATTCTTTTAGTAACACTCAGATTCCAAATGCCTTTCCAATGATCCTCTATATCCTTGTTCTTGGTGGAGGTATTACAAGCATTATATCCAAAAACTTCCGACTGAACATGTTCCTTAAATGGCTTCAATTCCAATTTCCATCATCATTAATTAAGTCTGCAATTGTTGTATTCACATTATCTCCAATAGGCTAATTGATGAGATCTTGGAGTCTGATTCCAGGCCCGATTTAAGAATCTTCCCAAGCCCTGATATCTCCCATTATAAGATCACACAACTTGCTTGGAATGCCAACCTCAACTAGGACCTTATCCATAAAAATCTAACTGATCATGTCATATGCCTTAGCTAAATCTACTTTGATGGCAAAAAAGCTCTTCTTGCTTTAAGCTTGTGCATACTGTGGAGAATCTCTTGAGTCACCATTATATTATCATGAATATTCCTCCTAGGAATATAACCTGTTTGATTCAGATAAACAAATCTATCCATACAACTGTTCAATATGTTTATAATGATTTTGCTAAAAACTTTATATATAGAGTTACAAAGGGATATTGGCCTGAAGTGATGAACATATTGAGGGTTATCTACTTTAGGTATTAGGAAAAGATCTGAGCTATTTACCTCTGATATGTTAGCTGACTTGATGCATAACTCCTTGATGAAGGTACACACACTACCACCTACCAAATTTCAAGAGTTTTGATAAAAGCCTACACGGTATCCATCTGGACTTGGAGATTTCCAAGGAGCCATGTCATAAACATCATTCTTTATTTTCTCTTTCAACTCTTCATTCAACTGATCTAATATGCTTTCTTCCATAATGGCTAGATGTATCTGTGAAGACAAAAAGAAAAAAAGTTACTACTTGAAAGTGCTATTAATAGCAGTGTTTTAAAAACCTAACTAGACGGATTAAACCGTGAACCGTCGTGGCATACCGGAATTCCAAGCAAAACAAGCATAGCAAAAGTGATTTTACCTTACAGACAGCAAACATAAAAGTAGCACCGCAACAGAGCCTACAAAACGCAGATATGGTTAAACTCTAAGCCCATTCAACCACAATGTTCATGGGATTTTGGCATTCATAATCAGAAATACATGCCAACTGGTTCTTCTCATTAGGTAACTCATAAACTAGGTGACTTGATAGTTCCTTATATTCTTTGGGATAATTATGAGAATCTGAAGCAAGGTATTTTGATCTTGAGGTTGGTTTAGGAGAGAGCATGACAAAATATGTATGTAGGTTCTTATCATGTTTGAGTGAGGGTGTCTATTCTGGTGAATTTACAGATTGAGGTGGGGTGAGTTTTAGAGACATTCTCATCATACATGAGTTGGAAGAATCTAAGACATTATTAGAGACAAGGTTCAGAGGTATACCTGTGTCATTAACTTTTTCAACTTTTGGTGCAACATGTTCTTCTTCAATAATGGTTTCAAGGGCATGAGAAACAACTTCTTCTGACATGAGAACAACTTCAGCATCTGAAATTCCCTCAGCATCCTTCAGCACAACTTTTGCTATAGTTTTCCCTTCCACTCATTGCATATTTAGAATTGTGTGCCTGAACTGCAGATATCACCACTAATATCAAAAGATGAACATGCTAATAATATAACCGCAGTACATCCAACCAGGTCAGCAAAAGTAAATCCAAATAGAAAGAACTGTGGTGATTAAGATAACTGATAAGAGATGATTCATTGATTTTTGATTCACCTAGTTCAACAAAAGCATTAACAACAGATTTAAACCACCTAGTGTTGGTTGTGTTTGTTCCTCTAATCCTCTAAGCAAGTTTATGTGCAAACATATGCTGGATTTTATTGCAGTATTAAAAGCAAAATAGATAAGTATTTATGTGTTAGTGTATTCTATTCCACAATGCATCAGTATCTAATGCAAAGAACTCATTATGTCGCACGGAAAATAAGTGCCAAAATCCCCCTTGTATGTAGGAAAATATAAAAAGGACTTTACCTTCCCAAGCGCCTTAAGTTCTCGCCCGACGGGTTCCAAAAATTTCAAGTCAACTTCTATAGGCCAGACCTGTTCAAATAAGAAGCCGAGAAGAAAAATATTGAATTGTGCCTCTTTGCCAAAACTAAATATTTCTAAAGAGCACTAACCCAAAAGAGAAACATAAATATTAGAGAAAACCAAAACATAAACTACAAGGGGAAAACATGAAAACACATGATAATAGGAGGAAGAAAGATCAGCATTCATGAACATGGATCACTTCTGAAGTGCAAAACAGGACAAAGATCCTATGCTGCAAAAATGATCATCCATTTCATACGATGTATGCAAAATTTGACGTGACAAGAAAATTTGGACAATAAGTTGTTTCATTGTAACTACTAGCTAAAATAGAAAACAGAAAAATAAAACAATTTGTTAAACTAAATCGGTCACATTCTGAGAAGGAAATGCCACAAATTTGAGATGACAATGAAAAATCAAAATTAATATTAAGGTTACAGACATGTAGTCAGTACTTAACACCATTCCGTTTGCTCAATTAATCGGGAAAAAGTGGTTTAAACATAAACAAAAGAGTATCAAGAGTTATGATATGCAATGCTCAATCATGTCTTTGACCATCTCCATGGTTTTCACATAGGTGCACAGTTAGACTTCCAAATTGCAATGAAAGATTCAAAATATTATCATTGTGCTTCTTTAATCTTCTCAACGCCTCCTTACTAGAACAATGAATCTCAACCAAGTGTCATCAAACATTAACATCAATAATTGATTACAGAGTCCACCATAACAATTCTTCAACAAAAATAAATGTCCAGTTTCCATTTTAAAAGAGCCAAAAGCAATTCTATAAGAGTAAAATTGATTTTGACATGTTTGTTTTCTCAAAAGTGGAATTGATTTTGCTTCCAGAATTGATTCTAGCTGAAGCCAGGTCTTTTAGATTTTGAGTTTAAATGTGATTTTTACATGAAATTTATTGTTCAAGTCACTTTTACATTCAAGTGACTTTACATTCAAACATAAATCACTTTACATTCAACTCACTTTTAATCAAAATCAATTCACTCTGAATCAATTCTGGTCACCCAGAACCAAACACACACTAAATATACCCCAACAGAAAGCACAAGACACACAAGGTAAGAGTTAATTGACATAATTTAAGATAATTTGTGATAGAAAAGTTGAAGGAAGAAGGAAAAAGTACCTTGAGACCAAGTAGTTTAATGGGAGCACTTTGACCAGGTACTAAGCATTCAGGACCAGCTGCTTCCACTATAGCTCCATCACCCAAACCATTCCCTATAGGGTCTGGATGCTGGAAAAACCCAAAAAATTCAAACATAAAAAAGATGGTTTATGATTACGAAATGCAACAAAAAAGAAATAGAGTAGGAGAAAAAGAGAAACCCTCATGATGGAAATTGCATAATCGGAGAGAGGTGTGTGAGAAACGCGAAGAATAGGAGAGTGGTGAATTTTGGGTAATGGTTTCAGTGAAGATGATGAAACTCGCCATGGCACGTCGTCTTGAAAGGAAGTGTTCTTCGACATTATCTATTTTTCTACGCACTTCACAACTAACACATGTCATAGATGAAAGTAAGAGTGGCCGAAGATATCATCCAAGTTTTGGGTTTTTTTTTTTTTTTTGGATTTAGCCGACCAATTGAACCGATTTCGTGGTTTAAAACAACAATTTACTCGACAAGCTTTCTTATAAAGAGTATTATTACAGAAGAAGAATTAACAGAGGGGGGACTGAAGACAGAAAGGGGTCGATTACAATGAAGAAGAAAATCGAAAAAACGGACGAGAATACAGAGACAGAGGGAGAGAAAACAGAGAACTTGAAGAACGCGAAGAAGGAGATACCAGCGTTGTCGTTGAAGACGAAAAGAGAAAGAGCAATTAGGATTTAAACATCTAAAACCCTAATTGCTAATCACCGTAGCTTCGCCGCCGCTATTCCATTCGAACTCGCCAGAATCTACAAAGCAAGAGAGAAAGAAGATCAGAACAAATCGGACAGAAAGTCATAAAGCAATCGCGAAAGGGGTAAGATCTTTAGCTTTTTGTTTGTTTTTGGTGGTTGGGTTTTGATTGAGGGAGAACTGGGTTTGAAGGTTGGGGGGTGAGAGGCTGCGCGGGAGAGAGATGAAGGGTTCACTGTAAAAATAAAATTGTAACAAGAATAATGAAATGAATAAGAGCTTTTTAAGAGCTTTTTAACTTTTTTACGGCGACGGGTGTTTTACCGTCGTGCCCATGAGAATTTTTAAAGGTTTTGGGTGCGACGGTTGTTTTACCGTCGTGAAATGAATTTTAGGACGGATAATTTTACCGTCGTGAAAGGTTTAAAGGTGCGACGGGTGCTTTACCGTCGTGATATGCCTTTTAGGACGGTTAATTTTACCGTCGTGACTAGTTGTTGGTGAAAAATCAATGTTAAAAGTGTTAAATGGGGGCCGACGGTTGTTTTACCGTCGTAATAATAATATTATGATGGTTAAATATACCGTCGCAAAATAAATATTAGGGAAGGTTGGTGTCAACTGTCGTAAACACTGTCTCTATATGTCAATTACGACAGTTATCACATAACTGTCGCAATTTTTGTGTCGTTAAACACTAATTTTCTTGTAGTGCAGGTAGCATGGTGTTCCTCTTCTTTTGGCCTTTGAATTGCTGATTATGAACACCTGGAGCCTGGATGGTTGAGGTGTTTGGTGGACAACATTCATCATCCTGCACCTGAACGCATTGGAAAAAAGAGGAATGATTGTTTGAGGGGACCTGGGAATCAAACCCAGGTCCCAATGGTTGCATGCCAACTCACTGACCCCTAAGCCAACTGAACGCCTTTGATATTATAATAACAAACAAATATATTATTAAGAAAACAAACACTATGCTGGAAATTATGAAACCACGCGCGCGCTTTTTGAATGAACCAGTAGTATGTCACCACGTCTTCGTCTCTTTCGTTTGCCTACAACAAAACAAAACAGATAGCGGGGGTTTTTAACCCCCACAAAGTGAAACGACCCATAATAGCGACTAGCTCCCTAGGCTATATAAATAGGGCACGATGGTCTTGTTCAATTCGTCTTGATCTTCTGAGTTCAACCATGGGCATCATGAGGCTTAATTTTTCTTGTATGGGAAAGCCCCAATCTGAGAACTCAAAAACCCTAAAAATCGTTAATGGCAAATCACAATCCTGGGCATTATAATCCAATTAATTGATACCAATAACTTTATATGGATGCAAGCAATATAAAACAAGCCATAAATCACATCAAATGTTCATGAATTGGGAGTTTCGATTATGGAAAAAGTGTGCAAACCGTATGACTGAAGCTAGTGATTCTTGGAGCTATGAAGCTGGAAACTGATTGCAAATCGTCCTGGGAACCTCCAGCAATGTCTTTGGATCCACAAAAGTCCTTAATTCGCCCTAGAACACTGAAAACAGTTTTGAGTTTCTTTGATATTTTTTGGAATTGGTTATGGTGTTTTGGCAGCAATTTGCACGTGAATGGAATTAGGTTTAGCTTCTGTATATGTAATGGAATGAATTAGGTTAAATATTTGGGCAAAAGATCCATGGCATTACGTTTTCAATATTTGATTTCCAATCACATCTTTTTGCATATTTTTGATTGACAAAGCTTGCTAATTTTGGAGATTTTGGTCCCCTTGATTGATAAACGAAATCTTCAGCATGTGCTGAGTTTATTTGCATCACAAAAAGATTTGAAAACCCCATCTTGATATTTTCCTACAATTAAATGAATTAAATGAATTAATAATCAATTAAAAATCCAATTAATTAATAAAAATAAGAAAATAACTCAATTCAATCTCAATGGGTCGTGCATAAGCCTTGGGCAAAGTTTCAAGAAGGAATTTGAGGCCCATTAGCAAAAATGATGTGTTTTGAGCAAAGTTAACTTTTGCAAATTCACAAAAAATTTCCCAACTTCTCCAATGCATATCTTGCTCAATTTTTATCATATGAACATGTTCTTGGACATTTTGGAAAGGTCTTGAAGTCCTCTAACCAATGCCTTTGGTCCCATGTAATTTTGATTTACCAATATCAAGTTATGGTCTTTGACTTAAAATGCCTTTTTGTTGACTTTTGAAATTGACCTATAATGTAGAAATTGATAACTTTTTGTGAGGGCATTTCTTGGACTTGGAATGTGAAGATGAGTTGTAGGAAATGTCATCCCCTTCAAAATTAGCATTGGATGGGATTTTTCTGATGAACCATGAAAAAGTTATGCCCTGGTCAAGTTACAGTTGACTTTTCAGCTGTCCAAAAATAGTAACTTTTGCATCTTTGATGATTTCTGAGCCATTCTTGTAGAATCATGATCAAGACTTGATCAAATGATGATTGTGAGCTCAAAATAAGATGTTGACCAAAAATTCTGATTTTTGACTGTAAAATGACCATTTTGCCCCTGCAGTTGACTATGAAGCAAATGGGACTTTTGACTGTGCAACTTGATGCTGTGAGTCTTGAGACTTGACATGTAGATGCTTGACAATGTATATAGGCCTATGGGACTTGATTGGACCACTAAAAACCTCAAATTCTTTGCAGGAACCAAAACCCTAACTTGGACTGGCTTAGGAGATGTTTGGACTGTGCAATCCCTTGAGAGATCTTGAACCAATTGAAGATGATTCTTGATGAATCTTGGAGAATATGGGAGGGCAAATTTTGGGGTACAACAGTTGCCCCTGTTTAATCTTCTTAGACCTAAGGATGTAGATTGGCTTGCGTGCCTTTCGTGATCCGAAGGTGGAAGATGATTGAACACTAGAGTGCCCAGAAATTTGCACTCGCATAGTAGATTATCAGCAACGTGATGTCGGGAATGGGCTTACAGATTCCATTTGGAGAGATGATGGATGGGAGGATGGGCTTATAGATGCCATCTGAAGATGTGACAGAACCTTGTCGGGAATGGGCTTATAGATGCCATTTGGAGACTGTTGGTAGGTGGATGGGCTTATAGATGCCATCTGGAAACTGTCTGTTGAATTGTAATTTTTGTAAGTTGAAAGAGGGAACCTGTGTAGGGTTTCCTGATGATGAGCTCGTGTAAAACTGCATCTTTGAAGGAAGGAAACCTGTGTAGGGTTGATTGATGATGAGTCCGTGTGAAACTGCATCGGGAATTGAGAAGGAAACCTGTGTAGGGTTACTTGATGACGAGTCCGTGTAAAACTGCATCTGGAAAGAGAAAGGGAACCGGTGTAGGGTTTCCTTGATGATGAGTCCGTGTAAAACTGCATCTGGAAAGAGAAAGGGAACCGGTGTAAGGTCGCCTCACGATGAGTCCGTGTAACACTGCATCCTGGAAGAAATAAAACTTGTGTAGGGTTTCTGATGACGAGTCCGTGTAAAACTGCATCTGGAAAGAGAAAGGGAACCGGTGTAGGGTCGCCTCACGATGAGTCCGTGTTACACTGCATCCGGGAAGAAATAAAACCTGTGTAGGGTTTCTGATGACGAGTCCGTGTAAAACTTCATTTGGAGTTGAGATGGAACCGGTGTAAGGTTACTTCGGGATAAGTTCGTGTAAAAATTCTGGAGGAACCGGGGTAAGGTTACTTCGGGATAAGTCCATGTAAGACTTCTGGAGGAACCGGGGTAAGGTTAGTGTGAGATAAGCCCGTGTAAGACTTCTGGAGGAACCGGGGTAAGGTTACTTCGGGATAAGTCCGTGTAAGACTTCTGGAGGAACCGGGGTAAGGTTACTGCAGGTAAGTTCGTGTAAAACTTCTTGATGAACCGGGGTAAGGTTATCTTGAGATAAGTCCGTGTAAGACTTCTGGAGGAACCGGGGTAAGGTTACTGCAGGGTAAGTTCGTGTAAAACTTCTTGAGGAACCGGGGTAAGGTTACCTTGGGATAAATCCGTGTAAGACTTTAGGAGGAACCAGGGTAAGGTTACCTTGAGATAGGTCTGTGTAAGACTTTTTCTGAAAGAAACGGAACCGGTGTAGGGTTACTTTGATGATAAGTCCGTGTAAGACTTCTTCTGAAAGAAAAGGAATCGGTGTAGGGTTGCCTGAGGATGAGTTCGTGTAAAACTTCATCTTGGAAGTGATAAGGAACCGGTGTAGGGTTGCCTGACGATGAGTCCGTGTGAAACTTCATCTGAAAGAGAAGGAACCTGTGTAGGGTTACTTTGTGATGAGTCAGTGTAAAACTTCATCTGAAAGGAGAAGGAACCTGTGTAGGGTTTCCTGAGGATGAGTTCGTGTAAAACTTCATCTTGGAAGTGATAAGGAACCGGTGTAGGGTTTCTTGATGAGGATGAGTCCGTGTAAAACTTCATCTGAAATTGAGAAGGAACCGGTGTAGGGTTTCCTCATGATGATCAAGTAGATAATTGTCCTGTCTGGTTTCAGGTATTAACCTACAATCAGTCGTCTACAAAATTTTCCTGGCTTGTTACAGGTGTTGATCTGGAACTGCAAAGGTAGATGGTAATCATCTTTGGATTGACCTTTTCCTGAAAAGGCAAA